TTTGGCAACGTTGAGTTGCTCTCGGCTGGCTCCCTTGCACTTGAGCGTGGGCCGGACAAGCAAGGAGCTCTCTGCCAGCCGCGTCTCAGGTCCACCATCCCAAACTACTCAGTCATGTCTAGGGGAGGGTGTGGCAAATGCTCTCCCCCACTTTTCCCCTCAGACCCTGGGCTCAGCCTCTGATCCGTTCCAAGTGGTTCCCTAGATTTAACTTTTTTAGCAATATTTGCTGTAGAATTGAAGATTCTCCAGGTTGGAGTTGGTTGCGACCCTGTTTCCCTTTCCTCAGGGTAATTAAGAATGGTGATCCACCCTCTCTCCTCCTCTTCCCGCCCCCTCCAACAATGTCACGTCGGGGCCAACTTTTTAGAAACTGGACCTTTCCAGAGGAGGCAGCGGGGGGTGGTTAACGCCCGTCACCTCCCCACCTTCTCTGCTTTCTTTTATTTCACACCCTCGAAACTAATTTTGGCTCAGGTTCCAGGCCAAATCCTGGACCAATCCAGAAATAAACATGGCTTATCAAGGCAAGGGTTGCCTTTTAATTTCTTTACCTTGCCGGCTGGTGAATGTATTGTAAATTCTTCAAGCCAGGGACAATGAGTATGATTAGATCGTGCCCTTTCTTATGACTCCCTGGGCCTTCAACCAATTCCAGCGTCCCCTGGAACTGCCTGCCACCAGAAGGTTCCAAGAGGTTCTTGTTCCCCCCCCCCCCAGTTGTTCCCTGTGAGTGAGGAAGACCGTTCTGTTTCATTTAGGCAGAGGACAATGGCCGGGCTCTCAGTGAATCACTGTCCCTTCTATTTATGGCTTATCTCTTTTTAAAATAAATTCAGTGGGGAGTGTAGATGAAACAGATCATGTGATGTGAAAAGGCGGGTTGCGGGGATGTTGTGCTTCAGTTTGAAAACCCTGCTCTCAGTTTGGGAGCAAATGGAAATGGATGTTTTGTCCTGCTCGTGGACCTGAAAAGAGAGAAACGGAAAGGGGGGAGAGTGCAAGCTGCTATGAAAACAATCCTCTCCTGTACTGGAAAGTGAGAAGTAGAGATTCATCCTCTTAAAGAGGGGAAACTGGCTAGATTTTTAAAAATTTTCTGCTCCAGTGCCTCCCATTCTCCCGCTCCTGCTTCCCGCTATCAGTGCTCCAGGCTTGTCTTCTGTGTGTACAGTGGATTAGCATTCCCAGTTCGGTTATGGCTGGACCTCCCTTCTATGTTTGCAGGCAAAAGGCCCAGAGCAAGGCTTATGTTTTTTAAAGTCAGGCTTCCTTCTTAACACACACACAAACACACACACACACAAAACATTTTTTCTTCCCCTTCCTGATTGCAATTTCATTTGCTGATAAAGCCTTCACAGACTGGATGTTTTGATAAACGATGAACAATTAAAAAGAGGAAAAGAAAAACCCCACGGAAGGACTTTGTGTCATCTTTTTTTCAGCTGCTGAAGGTTACAAGTGATTATGTACAAGGCATGGATTTGGGTATTTCGCCATATTGTGTTCCTATTCTATATGACAATACTATACTAGAAGAGGGCAGAAAATGAAAGGTGTAAACTTCAAAGTATTAATTTTTAAAACCCACACACACCTCATTATCTTTATCAGAAACAGATCACACTTTCTCAGGAGGCCGAGACTTTATTCTGGATATATCCAGAGGTCCTCTGCCTGAGGTGGCAGATGTTTGCAGAATTAAGATAGACTTGCCAAAATGGGTTTTTAGATCTTGTAAATGCATAAATTTTTGTTAGGGTATTGTAATGTTCTCCTCAGAACTTTAATTTTGAGTAACAGAGGAATCATCAGTTTCACAACCGATTGGTGATACTCAGAATGTTGACTCCTGAAAGGAAGCCACAAGCTTGAGTTTACAATAACTGAGCAAGGCAGTTGAGGGTTAGGGTATTTTAGAGGTGGCTTATTCATACAGTGGCCAGAAGTTGGGAGATGACTGGCCTGTACAGTACTTAAAAATGACAAGAGTTGGAAATGTACTATCTGGACAGGCTGATAGTGTGGTGGCGGAAGTCTTTGTTAGAAGATCCAATAGGGATGATTAGACAGGTATAAGGAAAATTGGCATCATTCTAAACAGGAATATTTGGGGCATGTGTGTAAAATGCTTTAATTATTATTATTAGGAAAAATAATTGTAATTTAAATTTTTGCACTGCAGGGACAATTGTGACCAGACTTCTTGCATGTCCACTGACTTGTTTAGGTTATCAATTTAGGTTGATAGAAAACCTAAAGACTCCATTTTGGCCTCCCTTGGACTGTTTAACTGCAGGTTTTGACTTTATAGCATTTTACGTAGAGGACATCTTCAAACAGAAGATTGTTGAACAAGCTTTCTGTCAGCAAAACACCTGCCTTGTTTACTAATTTGTGTGTTGTGTGTTTTGTTTATCCAATCACTGATGACAACTTTAATAAGCGAGAATAAAAGTACAGGAGAACAAGCAGTCCCAACATGAGATGCAAATGCAATGGATAAATAATATTCCAGTATATTTTACAGTAATTACAGGAGAAATCTTTAAAAGAAGGCTAAAACCGGAAGCAGGTGCATGGGGGACCCTAGAGCGGGACGGACAGCAGACGAGGGACCGGAAGT